CTGTCCCACTGACCTTAGGGCCTGTCCCCTTCCCCTGGCACCATGTTTCTGCTTTTATCACAGGAGCTTTGTAACATAATTTCAAGTCAGGGATTGTGATGGCCACCGCCTTGACTTTGTTGCTCAGAACTGCCTTTGGTATTTTAGGACTTTTCTGATTCCAGATGACTTTTAAGATTGTTTTCTCTAATTCTGTGAGATATGCTGTTGGAATTTTGATCAGAGTTGTACTAAATCTGTATAATGGTTTTGGAAGTATGGCCATTTTCAATATACTGGTTCTGCCTACCAAAAGCAAGGGGTATCTTTCCATTTTCTGATATCCTCTTCAACGTCCTTTTCCACAGCACTGTATTTTTCAATGTAGAGCTCTTTCACATCCTTTCTTAGATTGATTCCTAGGTATGTCATGTTTTGGATGCCATTGTGAAAGCTGTTGTTTACCTAATTTCTCAGTGAGTCTGTCATCACATACAGGAAGGCTATTGGTTTTTGAGTGTTGACTATGTATCTAGCCATGCTACTGAATTTATCAAATGTAGTAGTCTTTTAGTGGAGTTTTTGGGGGCATTCACCTGAGCAGCTCTCCTTGAAAGAAGAGCGACTGTCTCCATCTTGACTGAGCCTGACCCTATTTCCTCGTACTGTTATGCACAGAGCTGGCCAGGACTGCTGTGTATCCTTCAGTTGGCCTTAAGCAATGTGTAGTGGTCTAGCTGAAGTGCTGGTGATAGTCTTTGAAGGTGGCATGTGTGTTTCCCTGGTAACCTACACCTGCTGCTCTTTAATGTGAGCCGGGTCGAGACAGGACGGTAGAGCTAATGCTCCACAGCGCCAGCTGGGATCGAGCCTCGAGACAGAGGCCGTGACTTCCTGGGGCTTGAAAGGCTACACCAAAGCTGAAGCACCAGACTTACCAAAACATTAGATACTATATAACGCAGATTACTCTCTCTGCATATCGCAGAGGTAAATTTAGGTGACCCACTTAACTCAGCTCACAATGATCACCTACTTCCCACAATTCTCAGTCAGTCTTCCTCAAGCCACTCCCCCACTGAATAAAAACCGGGTGAGGCCCTGGGTCACGCTCTTGGTTCCAGAAAGCCATCTTCATGGCTGGACTTAGAGCCCCTTGACTCCCCGATGATTAAAGATATAATTTAGTGTCTTTATTTTCACCGAGGGTTGCATTATAAGTGGTAAATTGGAATCAACTTGATGGGATTCCAAAAACGTAACTTTGGGATTACAAATATTGGCTTCTTGGACCGAGACGAGGACCTGGAAGTGTCTCCTACATTCTGTGTAGCAGATCAGATACACTGACATTCTACCTTACTCCTCACTCTGCATTCTTCTTTAAGAATAAACCCTTTCTTGAGATCTGAGCATATGAAACACACGTACTCCCATACCCCATCAATCCATTATGCTACAAAGATGCTGGACTGAGGAACTTCTAGTCTTGCACAACACAAACCAAGCCTTCCTGATGTCACCAGTGCCTGTACTTCCCCAACACTAATGTGAAAGTGATACACATAAGCATCCAGGTGCAAAGCTAGAAGGCAACAGCTCAGTATCCATTTCTTTCACCAATATGTCATGGTCACTTTCTGATTTTGAGATTTCCTCAGAAGACACTGACAGTGTTTCACAAGAGACGATTCCCCCCTCGACCTCCTGTTGCACTAAGGAGTCTTTGTAGGCTTTCCCCATCAAAATGAACACAAGGGATAAAGCTGTATTCTTCCCAGAAAACAGGGCTGAAACCTGGCGCTTCTGAGGAATGCATAACTCAGATTTACCCATCAGAAACCTGGAGGTGGAGGCTAGCAAATGGCGTGTAGTAGACCCTCCAAAGGACTCTGATACAGCAGAAGGCTCGAGAGGCCCCAGCAAAGGGATCCACCCCAAGGCTTTACACCACACAGCGGCCGCTGGTCGATGCCTGTGAAGCCCACGTCAACCCTGCCCCATACTGAAAAGCAGCTTGGGCTTCTGGGCTTACCTTGGAGTTTTCCATCACGCTCTCGATGCAGTCAAAGTAAGACAGGTCACTAACAGGCTCATTAGGGTTGTCCAACATCCCCTTGACAGTCTGCAAAGCAGAACACAACTTAAAACGTCAACTACAGGAATGCAGCAAAAGAGACTCACCACAGAATGCCAGCCACCAGCCTGCCCTCACCATTGAGGACTCCAGGAAGAACTGGTCATGTACTGGGACTGTAGGAAGACCTTAGATCACATGGACTTCTACTCGGCCAGGACTGACCGGGGCAGGGGTCATTTCAGGTTAGCTTTGCAGAGGTGAAAACCTCGTTTCAGTTCTGGAGAACCACAGCATCTACAGAATGAGTTCGCCATTTTCTTTTGTTTTAAAGAAATCTTAATGCAAGGCAATATGTTCATGGTAAATTAACGTAATTTCTCTGCTGGAGAGCTCGAAGGAGTTTAGATCCCAAGGACCCACTCACTCATTTCTTCATAACTAATAAGAACCTCCAGTATGTGCATTTGGGAACCTTCTAAGGAGAAGGCATGAAAGGTGGTGGTAATTCTGCAAGGACGTCCATTGGGAGGGCTCGTTCTGTTTTTATTTCTCAAAGGACAAGAGGAAGATGCCCATGCTTGACTGGGTCCCCGTGAAGGAAATGGATACAGCCAGTTATCTCTGTCCCTGAAGCACTGAAAGTCATCACCAGCTTCCCTGCTGCTCATCAGCTGCGCGGGGGCCGTGGAGGGGACAGAGCCTGGGGATGGATGTGCTCAGCCTTCCCTACCCAGAGACCAAGCATGAGGACCCAGCACAGCCCACAGAAGAGCATGCCTGAGGCACGCAGGAGAGGAAAGTAATGGGAACCGTGGCGCTCTCCAGTTAACGATGCCAAAGCAAAGGGGAGTGAAAGAAGGCGCCCATTTCCATAAAGACCCCATGTCACTCCCTGGCTAGGATGAGCAACATTGTTTTAGTGTCAGAGATCATGAGGCAGCTGTAACTTTGGCAACGAAAGCAGCACAGCACCGAGTGCGTCTCCCCCAGCAGACCTTGTGCAATCAATGGCAAAGGGGAACAGAGCAGACTAGGGCAGTGACGGGGCCCATGTAGGACACACTGCCTTCAGCCATGTAAGGACAAACCTGTCCTCACTTCCAGCTGGGCACCATGGCCTGCCACCACTGTCAGATGGCCTCAGACAAACACTTCAGAAGCTGCCTGGGCTTTCCCACAGTGCCTGACCCAAGCCAACGGACCCAGAGCCGAAGGAGCACCGGGGATAACCAATCCACTGGTGAGGGCAGGCTCCCCTGGTGAGGCCCGCTTTGCATTCCAGTGGCCACACTGGTTTTGTTTGAGCACACCCACGTTTTCAGCATTCATGGAGCTTTTAATTATAAATCCATGACTGAGGATAAACTGAAAAGTACCCTCAATTAAGACTGAGGCCACGAAGACCCCCCAGCCTCCTTGATTCTGGTGTCATTCTTGGTCCTCTCTGGTCCCTACGTTACAGAACGAAACAGACGAGAAAACTGTTTGTGACACTTGTCTCAGCTTCTGTTCTCCTGAACGCACCAGAATCATCTTTCCAGTGAGGCCAAGACTGAGATCCGCAGCCCACACCCAAAGCACAGGTCTTTTCCTGTTTAAAATACAGCGTCCTTTCACAAAAGAAATGCTAGGCTGTGGGGCAAACGGAAGCCAGGACAGCAATCCCTGCAGATCCAGCCTTCTCCGGTTCCTACCTAGACTGGATCTTTGTCTCCAGCATTCTCTCAGGAGAGGCACAGACACAAGGACAGAGGCTGGAAGCACAGGGGCACAGCCTCGGTCTGGTCCTCAGCAGCGCCTGCAGGGAGGGACCCACCTCGAGTTCCCGCAGGGCGTTGTCACACTCCTTCTGGCCTGGGGCCTGCTGGGTGCACAGCGTGATCAGCTGGTTGATGCTCTCGGTCACTGCCCTGCAACGGGAAGACGGTGACATGTTGGCTTCTTTTACAGACTCTAGTCATTTCTCTCATGGTGCTTAGCAGGTCCACCAAAGACACAATTTAAGTCAGCACCTAGGGGGTCTCCATGAGCCCACTCTCACAGGCCCGAAAGAACCCCAAATTCATACTCAGGACAGACAAAACGAGAAACCCGACCTTTCTCCATCAGTCACTGGATCTCTCCTCACAGGCACTACTAGTTCACTGAGGACTGGTTTTTGATGCACGTCTAAGAAAGCACTCCCAAACCGCAAGGGTTTCCTACCACCACTGCTCGCAAGCTCCTTTCTTAAAAAGTGTATACAGGCCTGGGGAGATAGCTCGGCGGTCTAAGCACCTGCCTGGCAAGCGCAAGGACTGGGGTTCGATTCTCTACCATATGCTGTGCGGGCCCTGGAAACCTGGGCACACAGTGCCAGCTACTGAAACTGGGTGTGCTAGTGCATGCCTGTAATCCCAGTGCTCGGGAGGCTGAGACAGGAGGATCTCTACAAGTCTGAGTTGTGTAGTGAGACCCTGTACCAAATAAATAAATAAATAAATAAATAAATAAATAAATAGATAGATAAATAAGAAATTGAAGGAAAAAAAAGCTTATATGGGTGATTAAGATGACCTAAGCAAGGGTGTTTTAGAGAGCTTGGCATATTTGGTACTGGGGTGGGGGCTAGTGTTCAGGATTGAACACGCACTGACTTACATCTTCAGTCTTTTAAAAAATTTTTATTTTAACATCAGGGTCTCAGCATGTTCCCTACACCATCTTTGAACTTATAAACCTCCTGCCTCAGCCTTCGAAGGACCGGGAGTTACAGATGTGCACCACAATGCCCAGCTCATACTGGACATTTCTGCAACTGAAGACAAGGAGCAAAAGGTGCCTACAACTTCGAAATCTCTTTCTCAGCGAATTCTGTCTAAATGCTCTGAGTGGCTTTCCCAAATTCCTTCAAATAGCTATCTTTTCTGCGTTAACATGCCGAGGGGTACATAAGTGCCTGCTGCATGATTTCATGTGTGTTTCTAGGCTTTCAGAAGCAGCCTAGAGTCTTCCCTATACCACAAGAACTTCACCCTTGGATAATGCAGAAAGTGATGCTCATTTTGAATTTTTTTGGTAAGATATGCGACGTGGGCTGAAACATCTTTTCTTTACATGGAGTCCAACTGCTCCAGCCCCACCTGCTGAAAAGATTTCTTTCTGCCCTCAACTGCTTAGTCAGCTTTACTGACAATGAACTTTCACATGGTCCTGCTGCTAGACTCAGTGCTGTTCTGTGGACCCATCTAGCCTTTCACCAAGATCACATTCTTGGTTACTGTTGGGTGAGAATAAACCCTAAGCACAGAAATTATCATTGTCTGAGGAAACAGATACGCTGATTTTATCATTAGACATTGCGCATGTGTTAAATTATCACACTGAATCCAAAGAATGCGCACACTATGACATGTCAGTTAAAAAAGAACTTGTGTTTTATAAAAGTAAATGTGAGAGAGAAAACGTGGGGGGAGGCTACAGATAAGGTGCAGAAACAAGGCTGAAGGCCGTGTCCACCCAGGCCACCCGAAGCCAGATCCATGGCCCTTGGTGCAGGCCCAGGAAGGTGCTGACTTCTAGTCCCGTTTCCTAACTACCTCAGCTCACAGGTGACTTAAGACAAACAAGACACAAATAGTGTGCACACCACCGTTGATCACGAACACCGTCTAATAGAGAAGAAGACTGCTCATTTTATTAAACTGACTTCACAGTGTCCTACAGAATATCAAATGAGACGTTACATGCTGCTGCTGGGACACAAGGGCAGTCGGCCTGCCGGGGTGACGCAGTACGGCTTTCCATTTTAAATACAGCTAGGGTGATGGGAAGAAGGAAAACGCTTTGGAATTCAAGAAAGAATCCCAAAGTAGTTTTTATGAGTTCGACTCTGGTGGCTGGTTTATGCGGGAGGTGCACTAGGATGTCACCCAGAGCCCTGCATTCTCTGTGGTATGAAACAGAACAGAAACAATGGAGACTGCAAGATGTTCCTGGCTCTCACAACTGGTAGGCCCGGTCCATGACATACAGAGCGGATGCATCTTCACGCAGTCAGACTGTGCTGAGTTCTTCAGAGCAGTCTCCAGGCCCACCTCAGAGGGGACAGACTGGTGACCTCACCGCTGTAGGTGGCAAATGCCCTCCCCTGCAACAAGTGACCATCTGGAATGGATTTCCACATGTCACAGACGCTGCCCACTTCTTTCTCCATAAATGTGACTGCTGTTTATTATTATTGTTTTTAACCTTAGTTTTTATGTAAGGATTTTCCCATTGAAAATCTAAATGTTTATAATTGGGGGATCCAGAGCATACACAGTTGTGGGAAAGTGGCCAGGTTTCCTATTCTTTCAACATTCTGTAGATTGGATTATCTGTAAGAACGTCAGCAAGGCATCTGGGTCTAAATGAGTCCCTCGGCGGATGGATTCACAACCAACCAGCATTAGTGAAGATCCTCGTAACTCATCCTAAGAGTCCAGATTACACAGACAAACAATCAACTAAGTGGGCCAGAGTCAAATGATTATATATACTTGACAATGAAATATAGCATTTTTATGTTTTAAACTACAGTAACTCAAACCAGTAAAGGCCTGATTAAACAAACCTACATTTCCCAACAGTTTGGGGGCCATTAAAAGTCATAATGTGCCTCTTATTATTGTCACAGGCTATCCAAGATAAGTAATTATCACACAATTTACAAAGTAGTATAAATAGTATAAGCCCAGGGCTGTAAAACTAAGCATATGTGTATGCACAGAAAACCAACAAAAGGACACATACAGAATGTGAAAAGTGAGTACATAATGTTACTTTTTAAGGAAGAAATGTGGTACAACTAAGAAGGTATAATTTGGTCAATTTACTCTGTAACTTAAAAATGATGAACATTAGTAGGGGCTGCATTCTATGTAAAATCAACTATGCCCGATTTAGTTATTCTTACTTTTTCCACAATTTTTTTTTTTAAAGTTCAAAGTATTTTTAAAGATTTGATTAAAAGGTTAAAAGACAGTAACTTCAATTTATAGATTAATGCTTCCCCCAGTCCTAAGCTTCTGGCCCACAGCCTCGCACGGAGTCACCCTCTGACCCTCTGCCCTTTTTTACTTTGAGACAGAGTCTTGCTGAGTCACTGAATTGCTCAGGTTGGGCTTGAATTTGCCATCCTCTGCCTCAGCCTCCCAGAATATTGGGATTATAGGTATGCACCCCCAAACGTAGCTAGACACAACTTATTCTTTGTCTATGCATATTTTTAAAACTGGGAGGTTTTAAACCCCAGGGGTTAAAGGGGGCTTTCTAAACTAAAGGCCACTTAGTGTCCAGAGATACTGAACCGATCCAGCACAGTTGGACAGCTTTGGCTGCGTCTTTTAGGTACATGTGGAGCTGGGGAGTGGCAGGACACTCGATGCTGTTCAGCGTCTATGAAGCAAAAGAGATCACCTCCCAAGACGCTTGGAGAAGAAAGCCAGCAGGGTAAGGGCTCCCTGCCAGAGGGGAAAAGGTCTTCAGAGAAGAGCTGATCCAATCCGCCAAGGCTTTCCAGGCTCTGGTTATGCCCAAGGAATGGAGCCAGAAGAATAACACACCTCAGTCTCCCGGGATGGCAGCCTGCTTGCAGCGTAGTTGGAGAAGGAAGACAATGAGACTCAGGACATGAAGAAGTGGCACCCAAGAGAGCGGGTGTCACGACACAACAGCAGGGAGCACAAGACTCCAGGCGGAACAAGAGGCTCAAAGAATGGAGGGAGTCACAGAGCACACGGAAAAAACTCCCTCAGTGCAAGGGAAGAGCTCGGTGGGGACCGACAGAAGGATGGTTGAGATGAAGGGGAGGGAACACTCGGGATGACAGCAGGGTCCCCGCTGATGCTCTCTGCTTCACACAGCAGAAGCCTGGGCTTCCTGCTCCTTGCTAATCATCCTTTCTCCCAGTCTCGGAAGAGGGGAGGAAGCCTGCTCAGCAGGAACCTCAAAGAACCACCAAAAGGGAGAGGAGCCCATGGAGGCTCCAAGGGAGACCTCTGGAGACATCAGGGCAGCCAGAAGCAGCCTGGTAGTCTCTCTGGTTCATGTGGCAACGGCGTGGGCACCACTGGCCGGTGAAGGTGCTCACTGGCAGGGCTCATTTGGGGTTTCTTTTGCTATACTCACAGGACATCAGGCCAGTGCCTGGCGGGGAAAGGCGGCCCAACGGCTAAGGGTCTCTGTCCGCATCCAACTTAGCGCCTCACTGGTTAAGCAGGAGGAAGATCAGCTGGATTCAAGACAGGACACCGCTTCCTCTTCCGGGCAGCGCATGCCAGGACTCGGGGGTCCCCGTGGGGCCTTAGGCTTGGAGGCTGAACTGAGCTTTAAGGAAAGACATACTTCGGTTTTTCTTCAGAGGCAAACCTCCTTTCTCACAGCAAGAAAGTTGCAGAGACTGTAAAGAGCAGGGGTTTGAGACTACTGACAGCAACAGGGCCGGGCTGAGGTGGGGACAGGCACAACAAACACCCCAGTAAGGGACTCCAGGGAGAATAAGAGCATGAGGGGGGCCGGGGAGATGGCTCAGTAATAAGCGCTTCCCTGGCAAGTACAAGGGCCTGAGTTCAATCCCCGGTTCCGCTGAACCCCGCCCCAGCAGCGCTTTGCATCCCAGCAGGAGCTAGCCTGACCTGCCCAGCCAGGCTGAAACTGCCTGGGGAAAGCACTCCAGGGATCCGAAGTTGCTAAAAGGTGCCAAGAAACTGGGAGGAAACGCCAGAACCTTCTTGCACCAGGCCTACATCAGACAATTATTTTCATAAGAGGAATTCTCAAGGCTTGCCTGGCAGTAAAACCCTCAAGGGCCAACCAGATAGCTCAGTGGACTAAAGTGCCTACTTAGGCAGGCGCAGAGACCTGGGTTCGATCCCGGCCCTGGGGTGCGCTGAGATGGCAACTGAGATGGTGTGGTGGCGCAGCCTCTAATCCCAGCGCTTGGGAGGCTGACAACAGGAGGATCACTACGAGCCCTTCTATGTGGTGAGACCCTGTACAAAAATACATTAAAACAAACAAACAAAAAACAACCCTCAGGCCATAACTCCCTCAGCTGCTCATAGCCTTGACAGAGCCCCGCCTGGGCTCCAGGTGCTGTCACCTGTGCCACCACCAGGGGGCCTGCAGAGGCCTGGAGTCACACTCCAGCACCACAAGTTCCCCAGCAATGACACATGGCTTTTAAAAGGCCAGGTCATATTCTCCCCTTCTACCTGCAGTTTCGGCAAGTGAGCAACATGTTTGAAAGTGATGAAAAAAAAAAAAAATGAAGACAATGAGAGCCATCTGAGTCAGTCCAGATACCTGGAACCGATCGAGATCTCATCCACCATGTGGGGACACATGCATCACTAAGCAAGCCTGAGAAGAGGGGACGTGGGAAGACAATTTTCCAGGCCCCTAGTGGCTCGCTGTCGTTTGCAGCTCACACACATCACCTGTGACTACACAGGAGGAACTCTAGGGCTCGCAGGGGAACCACTCTGATGGTGCCTGACCCTGCACCACACTGAAATAAAAACCAACATCACTGGCAGCCGAGAGGAGCCAGGAGATGGCTGTCAGCACCAGACAGCTAAGGGCGACGCGGTTCAGTCTCTAAGTTCAGACCGGCCAGGCAACAGGAGCAATCTGCACCCCACAAAGACCTCCTGAGACCCCCCTCTCATCCTGGTTGTCACTGCCGCTGCTGCACTAACCAGAACTCAACTGTTCCTTATTGATGGAAAGTGCCAGGGCGGTGGGCGGGAGAAGAAACAGTGCTACTTCCCCAGGAGAGAGCCACAGGAAAGGATGACTGCGAAATCATGCCCAACTCAGATGCACGTTTTCAACGAGCTCAAAGCAACTTGCTCCCACCGCCAGCCACCCTGTGCATCCTGCACTGGAGCCCTTCCACACGTGACAGATGGAACACGCAGAGCTCATTCAGACACCAGCTGGCGCCACAGGCCACATAGGTGCTTCCTAAATGCCTGCGGAATGGCTCTGGGGCACTGCTCTCTTCATTTCGCAGTGTTTTCTGATTTCCTTCTCAACAAGCACATGGTGCTTTGCATACACTGAAAGCTGTAAGACCATCTAAAGAGAAATCTACTTCCATCTTCTTGTTTACAAGCCCACAGAGGCCAAAGCCTAGGCGAGCCCTGCTGTACGAGCAGGGAGGAAACAGGAGTCATGGGAATGAGACAGTTTAAGGAAGAGCCCAGGCCCCGTCACTCGGACTCTACCTCAACAACAGGAGGGCAGCACCGATTCCTTGTCCCGCATGGGTAGTGGGGGCCGGTGCCTCCTTGAAGCCGCGCAGGCACTGCTTGAGCACCGTCGCATTCTTACCTCGCCGCTGCAGCCAGAAGGTTTTTTGCATTAGGCGCTCCTGGATCTACGGAGAGAGACTTGGCAGCTAACAGCAGCTTGCTGGATGCCATGGAGATGTTCTTGAGATTGCCTATCACCTGGATCTGGTCTTCCTTCGTCTGCGAAGTCAAAAGGGAGCCGGCGTCATTAGCAACTGTCTTTCTCCTAGGGAGCATTTAGAGGGCTAGGCACAACATCCTGAAGGGCAGGCAAGTTATCTGTTTAGATCACCTTAAGCCCTATCCGTCTGCAGACACCTAAGTCACTGAGACACGGACTGGTGTCTG